ACCAGCAGTTGGCATAGTGGCTGTGTCGCTGGACTCCCATGTAGTCAACCGCTGTTCGAGTCCCGAACCCGGTAGCTTAAACTCACGCCGGGCATGTGTGAGTGCGTGCACAAGATCCCGAGAGAAGAATGGAGGAGAAGGGACTGTGGTGTGGCCATCCCCGCTGAGGGGTGATTTCTCGCTTTCTGTCTCTCTGTCTCTCTGTCTCTCTCTGTCTTTCTGGCAAGCACACGTGTCCTATAGCAAAAACCTCTCAAAAAAAGAATATTGAGACACTAAGTATAATCTAAGAAAAAAAGAGGGCTAAAAAAGAAGTTTTCTGTTTAGTTCCACATCTTGGCCATGAGATGAGCATCTGTTTCCCATGAGCTTGTACAGCATAGCCTACAGCTAACTCCTGGCACAGGGTGAAGAGACAGGGAAGATGAGGAGGAGAAATATGAAGTGGTGGTGGGGATTTCTCAGCAAAGGGACAGAGCTAGGACCAGGGATGCTGCGGAGAATAGCCAGGCCTGGCATCCTCTTCAGACAGCATGTTGAGCTGATCCTGGATTTAAATGGAACAGCTAGTGAGCCAGGGTGTTTCACCTTAATAATTTATAAAAATAAATTATAACAGAGAGCTTTGTAGAGACCTAGTGATTGAAACTGATTTGAAATGAGAATGATTAGACGTCCAGTGTCAAATAGGCCCTAGGCATATGTGATCTTTCTACTACTCATACCATCCTAACTGTATCTCCCTGTCTTCCATCATTATCACTTCTAATATTCAAACTAATAAATACACATGAAAACTTACTCTTTTTTTTTTTTTTGACTCAATGAGAAGTTGTCAGTAACATTTCAATTTGCTAAAGTTCTGCCTGCTCTTTATGGCTTTCCTTTATTCAACAACTATGTTTGCCAGTTCTGACCATACCTCATGTCTGCCTGAACAGAAACAAATAGAATCAGAATTAAAGTCACCAATAAGAGAAGACAGGAGATGTATCTCCCAACTTACAGCAGAGAGTTTTGATAAATTCTTAGGTAGGAAAGAAATACCATAAAATTCAAGAGATTCATATTTTATCTCATTTTTCTCATCCACTTTACTTCACCAGTCCAACTATTCTTGCAAAAGGAACTCTGGGGTAGCTACCCCAAGAAAGCACATGGTCACTTCCTGCCCATCCAGAATATCCAATCTAAAGACAATATAAAGGGGGCAGCAGTGCTGGCCTCCAGAGTAGAAAGAAATGGAAAAATGACCCTAGATTTATTCCTGTAGCCCATTCAGTTCTACCACGTTATGTTTATAAACATTTGTTGAGTTTTCCTTTTGAGTTTGTTTTCATTCTTCCCTGAGAGATAGAGATAGAGAGATAGTGCTCCCTTCATGCTACAATCCATCCCTAGACTCAGCCAACCCAAATCATGGGACAGGCTCACACACTGGGCGTGTCCTGGAATGCAAACCAGGAACCTTTCCATGTGAGTCCCACATTGAAGTGTGTTGTCTTAACCCCGCACCACCACTGGAACCCTTTTAAATATTGGTGAAGATTCTCTTCAACCTTATCCATCCTCTGTTGTCCTTCCTAATGAGGAAGGAACTAGAGAGCCTACCTACTACAACCAAGAGGAACCGCCCATAACCTGCAAAGAAGTGAAATGGGCCAAACCAAACCTAAGCTTAGCAGTCAATTCTAGCTTTCATTCTTGTTGGAAATGAAGGCTTTCTAGATATGCTAGTTGGAAACAAAAAATTATGCAGTTTGCTTATCAATTATAACTGAAAGTGCTACAAAACCACAAATACTGTAAGAGCCCAAAAAAGGGACCTTGCGCATTCTGTGAGGTTCTCCAGAGAAGTGCATTGACTGGTGATCTGTTCCATGAGTGAGTGTTAACTGGAGAATGTGCAGGACTGTGGACTGCGCATGGAGGGGGTATCAGGCTCTCAGGCAGAAGACGCTGAAAATGAGAAACTGGAGAGCATGTGGAAGGAACAGGAAGGTACCCAAGACTAGAGTACAGAAAGTAGAGCAGAGACATGAAGTGAGGGGTGGTGACACCACAGCATGATGGTCTTGTATGGGGTGGGGGCAGTTTGCATTTTATCCTGTGAACTAAGGGAAGCCACTGATCGTTTTTAAATATTGGAGCAGCCATTGACATTTGTACCTCTAAGACCACTCTGTGTGCAGCAAGGCTGCTGTGGGGCTGCAGGCTTGAGAGAGATGCAAGGTGTGGTCCAAGCTGCTCTTGCCATGGGGTGAGGGGCTGCTGACATGTCTCATATTCTGAGCAGTCCCTTGGGTGGCCTGTGTGCTGATCTTGGCATGAGGATTTGGCCCACTTGCAGACAACCCATCCAGCATCAGCGCCTGGAATAGTCAGCTCATAACTCTGAGCAGAGCCTGTCTGGATCACATTTTAAAAGCTCTCTTGCCATCTTATGGGCAAGCTTCTCCCTGTCCCCAAGGGTAAGCTGGTGGTGCATGAGCTTGATACAATACAAAGACTTCTTCCTCGGTGTTCCTGAGCATAGACAGACATCCAGTCAGTGAGGCCAGAGTGGAAGTGCTGAATTCCAGTCTACCTGAGCATGGTGATGTTTTTCCAGAAGCTCAGCTGTGTGTTAGTGTGGAATCTGGATCATAACCTAGTTTCCTCCTCAACTAAGATTTAATAAGCTACATATTTTGGCATTGTATTTTGGGTTTCCATCAGGATCTTACACACTGCAGGATGTAAAACAGATATTCAATAAATACTTAATAAGTTAAATCAAATAACCACAGATAGGCTGCTCTGAGTGGTGGGCCACTTTGTACTGCACTTCCTGTCCAGTGCCACTTGCCAACACATATGTGGCAAAATACACTGCTGCTGACTCCCCTGAAGCCCCTAGCCGTGGTCACAACACCAGCCCCAGCCTCCTGTCTCATTCATTTTATGAAGCTCTGGCCTCTTTGCACATCCTCCTGGAAACCACCATCCATAGGCATCTAATATATTCGGGGGGGGGGTGTTAAAAAGGTAATAAAAACAAGAGACTCAGACAAGAAAAAATAAATCTGTTGAGCACCTACTCTGTACCTGATGTTTAATAAACATGGTTGCACATCATGACTCAATTGCTGCAAGGTTAATGGTTTTGTTCCATTTAGCAAGGACAGTGGAGTTTAGGAAGGTCAAGGGACTTGTCAAATCCTAATAGGAAGAAGCAGGTGCAGGAGTTCACATTTGACAACTAGGCTGTGCCTTCATGCCAAGAGACACCCAGCTGCCATGCACCGAAGCTCTCCTCATTAAGAGGCCTTGCCATGCACACTTCCCACCACTCTCCCATCCACAAGTCGGCCATCCCAACATCCTGCTCCCCCTCTCACTCCCTCCCTACCCCTGCTCTAAGGCAAGAGATAGATTTCGAATCTTAGTCCCCAACTCCTCACCCTTCCCTCCAGTTTCCAGACATTTCCTGTTGTAAAATAACTACTGCCTCTGGGATTACGGGAAATCAGCCTCAGGCAATAATGGCCTTCCCCAGAGATTTTCTTAAGGAACTGTGAGCCAGAGTTGAGTGGGTGAACAAAGTCATGGCTTTGCGCTTTCTAAAGACCTTCCTCAGGCTTCCCACAGTGGCCAGGAAGTGGAGGCAGATGAAATGATAGTTTGAAACCCCTGGAGGCCTTTGTCTCTGCCTCTTCAATTTCCTGAATATCATATGTGTAGAGGACCAGAGTCTTGGTCCACTGGCTGGAATTAATAGAACCTCTAGTTAGAAGCCTATCTTATCATTCGGAGATGACATTACAGATACTGGTAGGGCAAGGACAGCATGGGAATTGGAGCCCTAACTGGGTCTCAAAACAGTCATCAAATGAGAAGACGTGCTCAGTAGGGAGAGAGGAGGAAGAGCTTGACGCCAGGTGGGTACCCTGGCCTGCAGCCAAGTGCCAGCTTCCTGCTGGAAGATGAAAGAATTAGTCCTATGGGCAATGCCTGAGCACTCATTAACAAAACAGGCAGTCCTGATGCTAAGGCATCAAAAGTTATGTCATGAGCTTCATATTTACCAGAAGTCCTCTAAAGAAAAGGACTGTATATAAGGAACCCAAAATGCAAGTAATATGCTTGAGGTACAGAGAGTAAGCCCCCCAAGTTACACAGAAGAGTCATAGAAAATAATGGCCAAACTGCCACGTAAGAGACTCTAAATCCAATGAACTACAAGGGCTTTCATTTTGAGAGGGGTGTGCAAGTTGAGGACAAGAATGAGGAAAAGCTGCTTACAGCTCCCCAGCTGCCTCCTTCCCTGCCCTTCTCCCGCTGGTGTGCCATCCATCCTGTCTGGCTCAGCAGAGGCTTCCAGTTACCTACCTGCCCAGGGTGTCCACACATCTCCCTTCAGCCCCGTAATGGGGCATTTGCAGAAAGCAGTCTTAAGATATTATTTAAATCTTTGTGTCCCCAAGTTTCGGTGGTCTGAAAAAATCCTTTGACTCCTTCCTTGTTTCCTTCTGACAGTTGTTGTTCGGCCTGACCATTACGTTACCATTACCTCCATGGGTACCCATTGGGTCCAGTGAAAGTGAAATGCCTGCAGCAGCCTGTGTGTGGTCCATACCTAACTCATCTCTCCATCACCATTTTTTCACAATTGTTAAATGTATGGAAAGTCCAATGGGTGGATAAAGTATCCGATACATGAATAATGGAATGAATATAATTGCAAGATAAGAGATGGAGTAAGAGTAAGAGATGAAACTGTTACCTGTGGAATTTTCTCTGTACAGACAAAATTGGGATTGGAACCCTCGGCTAGATCATGCTCTAATGAACTGAGCTACTCTGTCTAGAAAGGCACACCATGACACTGACTGAGTCCACCTTGCTTGGGACCATTGTCCTGATAGTATGGCTACACTTCCAAGATGCCTCCAGAGAGTAGACCTTAGAAAACAGGTAGCTGGAAATTCACACTGACTTGTTCTTTTTATTCTTTTCAGATTATCAAGGAGGTCCCTCCACCCCCTGCCGAGGAGAGTGAGGTAAGAGACGACAGCAGGGTGTGGCCAGGTGGGCAGGGTGGCAGAGTGGGGCAGAGAGCTATCTGGGATGCTCTAACTCTGAACTCCTGGCAAAGCGGGGTTATGTCAGACCACACCCCACTGCATGTGAAGCAGCAGGAAGGGAATTCTTTGGTCCTTTCCTAACCAGGGATGACCAGGACCTGAACTGTTAGTCAAAGACAGATCACTTTGGAAAGTTTTCTCCCTGCAAGGATAAAATGTGAGATGCAAATATAAATGTTTTTATTAGCACAAATATTCGCAGCTCTAGGGTACTGGTTTTTCCTCTAAAACAATTACTTTAAGAGTCTCTTCTCACTGTAGATACTTCTCCACATTCTACAAATAGCATCAGTTCTAGGAATATCCTGAGGCTGAGGCGGTTCATTTTTCTTTTATATAGAACAATGCTATCTAAAGGTTTGCCGGGTCGAAATGAAAATATCCTGGAGGAGGGTATGCTAATGTCCCCTTACTCTCAAATATTCATCACCAAGATCAGCGGATGGCTATGTTGCAGGACTCCCATGTGGCCTACCATGGTTTGAGTCCCAGATCCAGAGGCTTGAGACTCATGCTGGGATGTGTTGTGTGCCCAAAATCCCAAGAGGAGAATGGAACAGAAGGGATTACAGTGTGGCCATCCTCCTCTGGAGTGATTTCTCACTTTCTGTCTGTCTCTCCAGCAAGCATGTGTGTCCTATAGCAAAAATCTCTCAAACAAAAAAAAACAAAAACAAAAAAACTTCATCATCTAAATTTTAAAAAATTAAAAAATAAACCAACCTTAGATTCTGACAATAAATTGACCAGTAAGCAGTTCTGATGTGAGGGCAGTTCTGATACAGTGGATGCAGTAATGGCTAAGGAAGAGTACATCTGAGCAAGAGTTCATAGCAAGTGTCTTACCTAATCCTCTGGTCTCTCCCAGGATAGATGGACTCCCTGGATGTAACACCTACCCATTTAGAAACCAGAGTACAGGTCAGAAAACTTAGTGGGACCAAGTGGGACTAAACTGATGAGGTTTCAAGTTCTTATCCTCAGTTCCTAAGGTCTGTTGTGTGCAAACCAAGCGCCACCCCCTCACCCTTCTTCTCAACGCCTTAGTCAAGTTTCCTACATGCAGAAAGAGTAATGATTGAATTTATTAAATTTAAGATTCCATGTGGCTCTTAGTCCTGAACCATATGCATGTAAGTCGAAGGATTTAATAGCTGCAATCAATTAAAGCCATTGGAATATTGCTGGAATGTGAACTTTCTGCCCAGAAATCAAAGGAGGAAATTACATTGCTGTGCAAAGAGGAGGGAAAAAAACTCTCTTTACATCCACAAAAGCCTTTCCTTAATCCTTCATGTGCTAGTTCCAAGATTCCACTTTGGCTTTGTTTCTGTTGTGTGCAGCTGTCTTTTAGACTTCCTAGGAAAAACTGGGCAAGGATCTCCCTTCTGGGCTGCTCTGTTTGCCCTGAGGTGAAGAGTGTTCCCTCCCTCATTGTGTTCAATTAAAGGAGTTCTTCTTTCTTCTGGTGCTTGTTCTAAAGTGGCAAGAAGACATGGCAGCCACCATGACCAAAGTACACCGGGAGAGTTAAGTGTAAGATCCAGGGTTGGAGGTCTGGGTTATCTCAGGACCAAGATCTAGCACAGATTGCACACACAGTCCAAAGCCAATAAATATTTGTAGAATGAAGTATTGTACCCAACATCACAGTTTTAGAGCCTTCCAAAGAGCCCAAACCAGAAAACCACCTAGAAAAATAGTTAAAAGTGAGGGATGAGAAGTAGTTGAGATTTTTCAGTTTCATCTGATTTTTTTTTTTTTTTTTGGAGAGGTTTTCGCTATAGGGTGCGTGCACTCGCCAGACAGACAGAGAGAGACATAGAGACAGAAAGCGAGAAATCACTCCCCAGGGGGGTGGTCACGCCACAATCCCTTCTCCTCCATGCTCCTCTCGGGATCTTGGGCATGCACGCACCCGCGCCCGGCGTGAGTTTTAAGCCACCGGGTCCAGGACACGAACCGCGGTCAACTATGTGGGAGTCCAGCGACAGAGCCATTACGCTAACTGCTGGTTCCCAGTTTCATCTGATGTTTTTAGAGACAGAAATACATAGGAGGAAGGAAGGCCCATAACTGAATGGAAAGTTAATTATGACTTAACTCTAAGCAGCTACTTGGTTTTTTAAATCTGAAGGGACAGGGTCTGCCTGCTGAAGCCACTGACACTGGGGAGTATGTGAGCACCTGGCTTTTCCAGGTTATTGTGTCCACTGACCCTAATCATTTCTCTATAGTAGGACGTTTTTAGATAGGAAAACTGAGCTATGGGCAATTATACAGCCTGTCTAGGACCACACAAGCTGGAACTCTCTAACAGCCCCAGGCCTGACATCCCTCCAGCTATATTGATACAGACACCAGAGGAGCCTCCTGAAGAGATGAAGGGCTAAACTGCTACTACCAGGCATTTTCTTGCCAGCAGACATCAGATACACATTGTCAAACACACACACACACACACACACACACACACACACTCCAAGCAGAAGTACTAGAACAGGCCCATAACTGAGTAGTCTGTATTTCAATATTAAAAATTAATTAATTAATTAAATTAAAAAGTCTACTAAGAAAATAGGTCTGTCCTCTGTGGAAGAACCGGTAGAGTACCACACTGCAGAGCTGGAAACCATATGCCACCATGATTCAAATCCCCACCCACTCAACCTCAAACACACTGAGCACATGTGCACATGCCCAGGATCCTGGCAGACTAGAGAACTGGAGGAAGGGGAATGTGGCATGACCAAGCCCCATGTAGGGTATGTTTTTCTCTCTCTTTCTAACACTATATCAATTATGCACATGCCCATCATGAATAGAAAAAGAGAGCAAGGAAAAAAAAAAAGAAAGAAAGAAACCAAATGAAAACACCTTATTCTGTATGGAAGAATACAGGACAATTACCCTGTCCTTTATCATGTGTGTATGTGGAAGAGTTATAACAATGCAATGATGCTAAATTCAACTCAGAACAGAGAAATTTTAAATCAGTTAGAATGATTTGTATTACAGAAGCATTGCTGGATTTTTCCGACTTGCCAATTCATTTCTAGGAATCCACCTTTAAGACTGACATTGAAGGTGATCTCTCTGGCTTATCCTCAAAAATCCAGATAAGATAGTCCAGTCAGTTCCACTTTAGGTTTTGCCTTCCAGAGCCTCTAGACCTGGGAGTTTCTGTGGCTTTAGTCCTATAATTCACATCAGCACGCTCATAAAACTTACTCCTCTATAAATGTAAATAACATTGTTGGCAGTTGTGGGTTTTGTGTTTTTGTTTTGTGTTTTTGTTTTCTTTTTTTTTGTTTTTGTTTTTGTTTGTTTTTCCAAAATATAACACTGTATTGGAGGCAGTAGGAATTCAACTACAGCTGCTGGAGTGAGCGAGTGAGGAACAGACAAATAAATGCCCTGTTTGGCACTATGCGGGTTTATCATATGGGGTACAGTTCATTGACACTTAAAATATATAAAATCATTGCTTTGGGCTCATTTCTGGGTCAGTTTTACGTTCTCGTTTTTATTGATAGCTCCTATTGGTATTCAGTGAACTGAGGGTTGCTTGCCTACTTGGGACAAATCGGCCATCTGGCTTTTCCAGCAAATGGCTGTCAAAGAAGCAGGCATGTTCAAGAACTTGAATGAGTCTGACAGCCATGGCTTTAGTCCTATAATTCACATCAGCACGCTCATAAAACTTACTCCTCTATAAATGTAAATAACATTGTTGGCAGTTGTGGGTTTTGTGTTTTTGTTTTGTGTTTTTGTTTTCTTTTTTTTTGTTTTTGTTTTTGTTTGTTTTTCCAAAATATAACACTGTATTGGAGGCAGTAGGAATTCAACTACAGCTGCTGGAGTGAGCGAGTGAGGAACAGACAAATAAATGCCCTGTTTGGCACTATGCGGGTTTATCATATGGGGTACAGTTCATTGACACTTAAAATATATAAAATCATTGCTTTGGGCTCATTTCTGGGTCAGTTTTACGTTCTCGTTTTTATTGATAGCTCCTATTGGTATTCAGTGAACTGAGGGTTGCTTGCCTACTTGGGACAAATCGGCCATCTGGCTTTTCCAGCAAATGGCTGTCAAAGAAGCAGGCATGTTCAAGAACTTGAATGAGTCTGACAGCCACTACATGCACAACTCCAGGGGGCGTTATCACATCAAGTCAGTGAAATTGTCTGCTGTCACCTACATGCAGGAGTGAGGCAGCCCGAGGATCTGAGACCTTGCTCCTTCCACCACTTGTTTGCTGAGTAAAATATTTTTGAGTGAGTAGAAGTCAATACAAGGAGCTGTGGAAACACGAGTGGGACATTGAATTTTCTGAGGAATCAGTGCATGGGTTACACTTGAACAATATCTTAAAAGACATGTAAGGAAGTAGGGGAAGGGTTTTCTAAGCATTGAAATGAAACCCTGAATATTAAGTGTGGAGCTGTACCAAAGTCTAGGATGGTTGGCAAAGATAGAAAAGTTCAGGGTCTTTGGATAACACAGGCCTAATCCAATTAGGGCTAACCAAGTAAGCATATCAGACTTCATTATTTTACAGCTGTTTCTCCTCCAGGGCTAGCCCGAGGGTGCTCCCAGGTCTTCCTGAGGACAAGCAGGTCAGAATGGGCCTCTACCATGTGAGGAATGTGCTGCCACTTGTGTTAACCAGACCTCAGCCAACTGGACGTCTGGGGCCACCACATCCTTTAAGATTTAAACATGACTGCCCCTGATGGGAAACCAGCATCCCTCCCATGTCTGTGGTTTCTCCCAGGCACTACTCACTCCTACTCCTTGCTGCTTCTGCACTACCTCAGCTTCTTCACTTGATGGACGCCATAGTCTAACAAGCCCAATTTCTGCACTCCCCCAAGGCACCACTGGCACAAGAGCATGTGCTAGTGACTTTT